TGTCAGAACCATTTCCTTTGGTCACCACACCCTGCTCCAGATGGGTTTTATTGCTGGGGCTGGCTCAGCCAGAGGAACAAAGCCAGGCTTTAAACCGACAGTGCCAAGTGGCAAAGAACCACTGGGCTGCTCCTCGAGCAAATCACATGTCCCCTGGATGTTACAGTGTTCTACTGACAGAAAAGCAAAGCAAAATATACTTGAACTGGGCAGATATAGAGAAGCAGCTGCTCTTCAAGGGCTTGGAAACAAAACCACCAGGGGAAAACGTGGAACCTTAGTAAGCCTTGTCTTAGGCATGGTAAGATCAGCCACAGAGCTGTGGGCATTAGGAAGGGACTAACTCCATTATGGGACATTCCTTTAAAATATTCCTTTGCAGAACTAGAGATGAATATCCCAAATTTATGCTTTTAAGAATGTTGCTGTGTTAACCTCTGCTTTCCTGTCTGCTCAGCACACTGACCTCAGACTTGCTATCCCATGAGGGTGGGATAAAACCATGTTGTTATTGATATTTGCTGCCCTGTGCTCCTTGGCAATTTTACTCATAGTTCAATTGTTTTCTTTGAGGGTTTGATTGGGACCACGAGGTTGGAGTTGTGGTCAAGGTGTGAGTATCTGCTGCACCTTTCTGTCAGGGGCAGGATTCCAGAGCTGTCGCTGCAGGGCTGACAAAAAAGGAGCATTTCAGCCAACATAAGGAGGAAAGTACCAAACTTTGTGTCAGGGAGCAGCAGATTTTCCACATGTGCAGCAGAAAGCAAATATCTGTGTGCAAATACTGGGATGTGTAAATGCAGATGAGAGGAATTAAGAAATGACCTCTAATACAGTAATAAACTAATCTTTTTTCCCTGAATCACTTCTTCCCCAGAACTCTGAGGCTACAACCACGTGCCCTTTCACAGCTGCTTTGTTGAAGGTTACCGACCCCTTGTGTCTGCCAGCAGGACCCTTTGCATGTTCCTTAACTTATTTGTTTGAAATACTCCCACCAAACACTGAACTGGAGACTCTTAGGTGCTAATTTTGCTCACAGAGTGATTTTTGGCTACCTCGTTTTATTGCCATGCAGCAAGCAAGATCCACTCAAATATGTTTAGTCTGACTTTTATCCTACATTAATCATGTACTAGCTAATATTTGGATGTGTTTCATAGTCATAAAACCATTTTAATGTCCATTTGGAGTTAAGTGTGTCCCCTTTACAGATTTAGCAGTATCTCCTACACTACTTAAGCCCTCCTAAGAGACCCCGTTTGCCTGAAAATGGTGTAACAGCTGAATTATTCCCTCACAAAGGATTATTCTGATCCAATTTGTGCTGGATGTTGTAGTGTTTGTAATCAACAAAGATGGAAAAAAACATGAGGAAGTCATAAAGCAACACGAGGATGTGCTCAGCATCAGCTTCTCTGTCCTTGGAGAGCCTTTGGCCAAGCTTCTGAGACAGGGAGTTGGAAATCAATAATGCTTTTGTCTCTCATTTTTCCTCATTTGTTTCTCTTGAGAACATCCCAGCACACCTACACTCCCAAATCCCACATCTTGTTCTGAACTGCTGTGCAGCAGTTTGTGCTTTCCTGGGGGGTTAATCCCCACCGAGGGGCCACACGAGGCAGGGGGGCCCTTTGAGAGGCTGCAGCAGGGAGCTGGGATGCAGGGAGGGGCAGGACCTGGCAGCATTTGCCTTCCATCCTGCGGTCCCTGACCACATCCAGACAAAAAGCAAACAAACCAACAAAACAAACGTGCCACTGAGACAGCCCATCTGCCCCAGCAGCAGGAAGGAGGCATTTCTGTGGTCCACGTGTGGCTCGCCTCAAGTGACACATGGAGAAACACTGCCTGCTTCTGTCGGAGCCCAGCAGCCTTCCTTCACTGCTTTTTATTATCTAGTAAAATGCTCTCTAGGTTTTTAACTGCCTTTTTTTTTTTTTTCCAGTTGATTTACAGTCCTGGGTCTGGGGTATGTGCACGGATTCAGTGGGAACTGCTGAACGACAGGAGTGGAGGATCTGGCCTCTCTGTTCCCAGATTTTACTGTGCAGCCTGAGGTAATGAAAGGTCCACTTGTAAGCCTTTATATATGACTGTTTTCCTTGTTTGTAAAGTTACCTACTAATAGTGATTCAGCAAGATGATTTTCCCCTTTTTTGTGGTAATTGTTTTGGGTATTGGACATGTAGAGTTAGATTTATATCATGAAGAGGCATATATGGGACACATGTGAGAGCACTCATCATTCATGATGCAGGGTGAAAGGTTTTGTGGTGCTTATTTAGTAGAAAACTGGCTCCCTTCTGAGTCAAATGTGACTGTTCCTCTTGGTTGTACATTTTGTTTATAGCCAGCAGTTACAGAATTTGATTTTCAGGTGAGTTTAGAGGTGCCTGACTTTATTATAGTTTTGCCACTGAAACAGCAACAGTTTGGGTAAATCAAGACACTTCCAAAAAAAACTTTTCTGGTGGTTTTGTCAATTCTATTTTTTATGATTTTGAAAAACATAGAAAACTTTTTAGTCTTTCAGGGCTGACTGTAAACTTCAATTTCCTTTCTTCTGGAAAATGGACTCAAAATGTTTCATATAAACACTTGTTATCCGAATTATCCTGTCAATGTGCTTACTTTCAGTCCAAACCAAATGTTACATGATCTGGGATAAACCTGACTTGCATAAGGAGATATAATCTAGTGTTTGCCTCCAGGTAACATCAGGCACGTGGACAGTTGATACAGCTCAAGTGACATGTGGTATCTTGTCAACAATCACGTTAATTTTTGTTCATGTTATGTGACAGCCACTGCAGTAATCTCCATCTCTGCAACGATATTTTCACCACAGGAGAGGGTTTGGAATTAAGAAATGCCTCTGAAAAGCACTGGTTTGGATGCTGGTGGAGGCCAACTTCCACTTCTACTCATTTGGTCTGATCCAAACCCTTGCCTGAGTTTTTATATGCTGAAACCATCACAGAAAGGCAAAAATGTATCTGCTAATCATTCAATAATAATAATAATAATCCTTTTGGAAATTGGTAATACACTTCCTGATTGAAACAAAGCTGCTTTTCTTGAATCAGTCTCAGTCCATAACCTGTAGTGCCCAATTGCAAGAAAAGGGGAGCTGCAGATTTATTTATGGCCTCATTGGGTTAAGAAGTATCAGAATCTGATAAGGAGACTTTTTTCCACTAAAACCCTAAAGCCACACTGTCACCCCAGAGTTTCAGACATCTGGACATCCCCACTCCCCCAGGGACTATTCAAGTCAGACATTCTCCCTTCCCCTGTCAGCCAGGCACAGATTGTGAAGGTGGCACTGTCATCTCCAGTCTGTTCTAACACATAATTGCTGATGGTTGTCAGTAAACACCAATAATACATATTTAAATACTCAATACTTTCTTATTTTACCTCTGGAGTCCATTTCCCAGGTGTATCCTTCAGAAGTTGTCCTACATGACTGGCTCCATGTGAAGAAAAAGTCATAAAACCTAAACACCCCAAAAGTCTTAAATGCAGTAAACCATGTTCCAGATCCAGCTGTGGAGTTCAGTGCCGGTTATAAAGCAGAGGTGGGATCTTGCAAGCAGCAAATACTCTATTTTTCTTTCTGACTAGTAGGGTTTCAGCCTGATCCTTGCTGGACTCCTTCTCTCAGAGTTGAGAGAAGATATGCTTAAAAATTCCCTAAAAGCCTGGAGATGAAACACCTTTTTTACCCATAATTCTGGTATCTTAGAAACTGCTTAAGGTACTTCTATAAAATAGTGATGGCTTTGCCTCATTTCTAATGGCTTTAAACTTTGGTACATTTAATAGTGATGCTTTTTAAGGATAAGGTAGCTGTCCTTAAACAATTCTTAGAATTTCCCCCAATTTCCTAGAAAACAATTTTTGTGTCTTGCCTAATATGTGCTGATTTTAGATTTTCTGTGAAATTCTGAAGCACAGCTCCAAACTTTCAGCCTCCTATTCTGACATACTCCATTAGAAGTTTCAAGTCAACACCCACACATGCTGTATATATTGATATAGCTCCATTCTATCCAGAAGAATGCTACTGAGTATTATCAGGCCAAAATCAGGTCTTTTTTTTTTTTTTTTTTCAGTTTGGGTCCCCAAATCCAAGTCTGACAAGTCTAGTTATGCTTTGGAAGACTGATGGGCTGAGTTTCAAGTTGATGTATTTAGAGCACTGGTACTGGGAATGTGTTCCATGGCAATGGCAGAGACACTTCACGTTGCCTGGTGGCCAATTCATTCATCAGGAGTCAAACACTGCACAGAAAGTCTGAATTTCAAAGTGATATTCCTGGAATCAAGTACTGGTCAGGGTAATTCTGATTTATTGTTAATAAATCAGACTCTTCCCCTTTAGCTGTAAGAAAATGTCTCTTTTACGTAAAAGTGTGTCTTTTTTATAAAATTCAAAGGAAATAATTTGCCAAATTAATCTTTTCTAAGTAGGTACATAACACTTTTTAAATAGGTAATAACTCTCCCTGTTTTAGTTTGAATACATTGCTTATGGCTAAGTCAGGCTTAGCAAAGCCCTGTGCAGGGCTCAAATCCTAAGTGGCTGTAATGTCTTTAAGCTCATAAGTTAAACTCCTGAATGGAAATATTTATAAGTTACTCTGGTAGAGTTACAGCACCTAAATGTCAATTAAACTAACCTCTTGCTTGCACTCTGCACTGTGTGTGTCACAGGGGGACTCATTTCCAAGGGCTGGGGCTGGAATGCCTTCCCTGCCTGTCCCTTCTCCCTCCCTTGCAGCCACACACAGAAAATCCTTTCCTGAGAGAGCCTAACTCAGCCCAGCTGAAAACTCCTGCTGTGTTCCTCCCCGGATTGCATCTGGAGTTTGAGAATTCCAAAGGAAGTTTTACAAACAGGACAGAGCAGCTCCACAACCTGGGAGCGAGCACAGAAACCGTTAAAGGGCAGGAAACGGCTGGAAAGAATTGTCACCAAAGCTTCTCCTTACCTTCTTCAGCAAGTGCTGCCAAGGGCACACTCCCTAGGACGAGGATGAAGAATGGAACCTTCATAAACATCTTTGATCTGCTTGGAGAGTCGCTTTTCCTGATCCCCAGACCAGATGGATCCAAACTCGGATTAATTTTTATTTAGAGGCAGCGGAGAATGGAGATCCCAGAAAGAAATCACTGCACAGAAAACACTTTGGTATTCCAAATATTCCTTTTGCTGCTGTATCGTGGAGGGGGAAGGCTCTCCCAGCTGATAACTGTACAGTTAGAGAAAACTGAGTGGAGTTGGAGTTATTTTCTTTAGCCCAGGGGTGGGAGCAGCCCAAGGTGGTCCTGGACGAGCAGCCAGGCCCGCCCTCCGCACGCTGTTTGGTCAGCACCAAAATTATGATCTCAGCCCAGGTTTAAAGTTACAGGAGCTGTTGTGGCTTTCACAAGACTTTTATTTAGCAAAGTGGGGAAAGGGAATTTAGGCAGAGCGAGGTGCTCCCTCCCTTCTGCAAACTGTCTTTAAAAAATACTTAAGGAACAACACTAAGGACATTTTTCATGTTATTTCCAGCGGTGAACTGATGGTTTTTTCATTTCTAAGTGAGCCCCCATGTTTTTCTAAGCAAGTGTGGTACTGAATGTGCATTTAGGGACACTGAAACAGTTTTAGGACAGGCTATTTAATTCTGCAGTAAATAGTGTCTGAGTTTTCCTGTGTGTCTGAGGCTCTGAGCTCGTGTCCTCAAGTGACACCCTGGCTGTGCTCGACCATTTCTCTCTGCCCACAGGCTTGCTGGTCTCAGAGTGCTGATATCACCCTTCAGAGAGAGGATTTTTCCTTTTAATATGTATTATTATTAGCAGTACAGCCCTACAATGAGTCTGTGCAAGACTCATTAGTTTTTCCTCGTCCATGTTTGTGGGAATCAGCCTTGCAGGGCAGGTGTGCAAGGCTGGATGGCACCAACATCTGTAAGACAGGCCTTTGCTCACCAATAACAGTTCTCAGGCAGGAACTGGGGCTGAACTTGGAGAGAAATTATTTATATCAACCCTATTCTGAATCTTCCCTCATTTTGGGCAAGTAATAATTTCCTGATTTACATCTATTTATACATATCTGGAGCAGGTCCAGAGAAGAGCAGTGAGGCTGAGGAAGGGACTGGAGCACAAGTGCTGTGGGAAGAGGCTGAGGGAGCTGGGAGCGCTCAGCCTGGAGAAGAGGAGGCTCAGGGGAGACCTCCTCACTCTCTACAACTCTCTGACAGGAGGGGGGAACCAGGTGGGGGACAGGCTCTTCTCCTGGGAAACAGCAGTAGGACAAGAGGGCTGGGTCTTCAGCTGTGCCAGGGGAGGTTTAGGTTGGATATCAGGAAGCAATTTTTTCCCAAGAGAGTAATCAGGCATTGGAATGGGCTGCCCAGGGAAGGGGTGGAGTCCCTGTCCCTGGAGGTGTTGAAGGTGAGAGTGGATGTGGCATCAGTGCCATGGGCTGGGAACCACAGTGGGGTTGGATCAAGGGTTGGACTTGACGATCTCGGAGGTCTTTTCAACTCAGTTGATTCTGTGATTCTGTTTAGGAGTGTGGTGAGTTTTAATCAGTGCTCAGGTGTGAACTGACTGCACCAGCGTGTCACAGAGTGAGTGAGGAAGGGCAGAACCTTCTCCCTCAGCTTCTGCACCCCCAAGTCCTGCAGTGCCAGGGCCTCAGGCTCACAAAGCAGCAGCGTGGATTTATTTCCTTTCTGCTGACAGCTGTGGAGGAGGTAACCTCTGCTAGAGGAGACTTGTGGCAGGGGTTTTGTTATTTTTTAAATACAGACACACAAAAAACCCCCAAAACAACCCCCTAAACCATGGCTGGGTTGTTTTGCTCAGGGAATGAGTCAGAGCTGTCATTAAGACCCCACAACACTTGGTGCTATAAAGGACCAAAGCAAGTCTGAACGTAAGACATGATGTAAAAAGGGCTGCAGGTGGGAAATGCTGCACCTTCCACTGGGATTTTCTTTCCCTCTCAAAATGATGGGTGCCAAAGGAATTTCTTAGCTATAAATTGTGGTGCTATAATTGTGTTCTTTGTGATGAAGAGGAGGGCAGAATGAAAACAGTTGACACCAATGCCAAGAATCAACAGGCAATATTGACTTATTGTCTCCAGAAAAGCAGTAAAATAAATATTGCCTTGTACTATCTTTCAGCATATTAAAAGCTGGGATTAATTATTCTCAATAATGCAGCTTCAAATTTATTTAGGAGAATGTTTATTTTTGGGGGAAATGCCCCTCATATGAAACTAAATCTTGCTAAGGGAGTATGTCAGTTTTAATGGAATTTATTTTGAAAGATATTTTTTTACCTTATCAGAATGGAATGTTTGGAATTCTGTATGTATTTTTAGAACAAATGAATGTAGTACACCATGAAAGACAAACTGGTGCAAACAGTGACTTTTTAATGTTAACAAATTTTCAACAGGAGCAAAAAGAAGGTATTTTTAGGATTTCATTCAGTTTTCTTTAAAAGCACTCTGGAGACCTTTTACAATTATTCCTATAAACAAACTTACCTCAGGTTTAGCAATAAGCCTTTCTAAAGGAAGAGCTATTTGCTGAATTAAATAAATTCTTTCTTTAAGCTGTACTGTCTTCTGGGTATAGAGCTGGGATTCTTGAGCTTTCAGGGACTGGAGATGTCCCAATTCCAGTGGCTATTCCAACACTTTTCGATACTTTTATTATTTTTCCCAGTAAGGAATAGTTTCTCCTATACCAGCCTGTTCCTCCTGTTTGGACTTGTTCTTCAAAGGAAAACTCCTTAGCTAAATTTATTGAACTGTGAAGAATTTAATAACATCAGCTTCTATCAGGGTGTCAAAGTGCAACAAAGGGCATAAGAAATGTGCCTACAGATGCAAAACAAGCTGGTGAAAAAGCTCCTTCCTAACTGTCATCTTGGGATGGGATTGCTCCTGAAGGACAACTGTGACAGGAACTTGCCTTCCAGTGGGGACAGTTGCTGTGTAAGGAGATTAAGGCTGATTTAAAACAGCAACAAAATTCTTTCAGAAGAGCCAATGTGCCCTTGGAAGAGGGGACAGAGCCAGGGGGACAAGGGAGCAGTTTTCCTCTGAACTGTCCCAGATTAAGGGGGTTTAATGAAACTGCAGTTCAGTGCTCTGTAATTCTGTTAAACCAAGAGGTTATTCATAGGTTCTGATTTAACAATTCATCTGCATTGAAAGCAGCCCTTATTTGTGTGTCTGTTAGAGAGCAGGAGGTGAGCACATCCCATGGGTGTGCCTGGCAGGGGACATGCACATGTGCCCAGTGCTGCCGTGCCACCAGTGTCAGATCCACGCAGAGATGCTGTCATTTGGTCTGGGTGTGTTATGACAATTCCCACAAATTGCCAGGATATGAGTGCATGGGTCACTCTTTTTCTTTTTTCCTTGCCAGGCAGGTCTGTGTTTTCAATCCCAGTGGTTTGGGGGAGGACGTGGAGAGGGGTTTGAGTCCACGCAGCCCTTGTGTTTGCGTTTCATAATCGGCTCCTTCCGTCTCGTCATATCAGTGGTTTGCAGAGTCTTGTGAGAGGTTTGGGCTGGGTCTGGTTCAGTGAGAGTGAGGAATGAACCAGAGCTGGGGGAGTAGAGAAGTGGTGACTGTATCCTGCCAACTGTTCCGCCTCAGGGGCGAAGCCGTGTGGGATGATGTTTTCCCCCGGATCAATCATGAACCCGGGGGCACTGAAGTCAATCCAAGGTTCCCTCTGATCACAAATGGGCTTTGACTTCCTGTAAATAACCTGTAAAATGGGAGCACAACCATCCACACTCTATTTAAAGCCCACCATAGAGACCAAAGCAGTGCATGTACACACGGGGGTGACTCTCTCTATACTCACATCTAAAAAGGGCCACACAAATGGCTCCTCTCTGCACAGAGGAATATTCAAATTACCCCTCTGCAGTCCCAGGAGCTGTCAGAGGTTACAGCATGGGGACACATTTGAATGTTCTGCCTTACTTATTACAGGATTTTCCATGATAGTACAGCTCCAATGCTCTAAAATTCGTCTTTCCACAGAATCATCTCATCAGTTATCTCCAATACAAGGGAAATCTTAGCTTACAACATCTCCAGTCTGCACAAAGTAAACCCATATTTACCCCTTCTATCTTTTCACTAAAAACACTCAAAAAGTGTAAATTAGGCATTTCATTTGATGACATCCTTAGCAAACCTCCCCTGTAACTCAAACGATGCTGTCTCTTTCTGTTGCCAAATTTCCTGTTTCTGTACCCTGGGGGCAGCTGTGGGCCCTGCAATATTTGGTCAGAAGCATAAAAGCTGTTTTCTGCAAGCTTTATTAATTTTCAAGCCATTTCCTGTTTTCCCTTTGCAGCCAAACCCACCCTTTTTGGCAGGTACTGAAATAAAAAAACACATGATCCAGTCTGAGCAAAAGTTCAATTACTTGACAGAGGAGGGGACCCCAAATGATAACTCTGAATTTTCTTTGCTGCTTTCCACAAGGCAACTTTGCTTTACTGTGAGGTGACATTCCAGCAGATGAGGTGTGGAATTGCAGAAGGCTTTTGCAGAACTACAGCTCCTTGCCCTCGGGAATGGCTTTTACCTTCCCTTATTCCCAAATTGTTAAAGTTCCAGTCCATCCTATCTTGTCATTGGTTTGCACAGGCCTCAAATAGGTGTCACTTCATCGTAGCTTTTGGGTTTGAGCCACTGAGGTTTTAGTTTCCTATAGTAAGAGATTGGGCTCAAATATTCATATTATGCAGCTTTTTAAGAGCTCAGCAGCTATAAATCCAATCCTGTTCCTTGCCCATCTGTGCTCCTGGCAGTGTAATATATGCCCAGAGCTGTGAGCAGCCCAAGCTGTCAGATGTGGGGAAGAGGGATTATGAATGAGCAAATGGCAACAATGCTTGAAGTTGGAGTTCTTGAGCTACAACAGTAATGATCTTTGTCAGTCAGGTTTAGAGATGGGGCTGGATTTCCAGCTGGGGTAACTCAGAGTTTCACCAAAATCAATAAGACTTTCAAAATAAACGTATTTAAGGGGAAAGAAGAAAGTCTCTACGCTTCAAATAGTTTCCTTGGAGATTTATGGGCAGCTGTTCTTTGTACAAGTCGCTTTTCTCCATGATGTCATTTGAGTCAGGGATGAAAAGTTGATTAAGATGTGCTGGGAGAGGGAAAGGGCACAGAGGGCTGCACAGGAGTTTTACACAGAGTGAGTTGATCTGTGTAAAATGTCAAGATTTCTCTATAATATATCAAAGTCT